TCCTGTGTCCTATTTCAGCATTTTGTTATTCCCCTTCCCCTCCCCAAATTAAATAAATGTATATACAAGATGCAGAGTACCAAAATCAAATACAGTGACATCAGGAGATATAACATAGGGGGAAGAATATACAAAAGAAACAAAAAAAATCACACAATACATGAAAAAGAACAACAATGAAACCTCTTGTGTCTATATCTTGGAGTTCATTTCACTTAGCATCATCTCATATGGTCATATGTACATAGCTTTTGAGCTTTTCTGCTCATCTGATAAGATTCTCCTAAATGGGGCTGGGAAAGTGGCTCAGTGGAAGAGCGCTTGCCTTCCAGGCATGAGGCCCTGGGTTCGATTTCTCAGCACCACGTAAGCAGAAAAAGCCGGAAGTGGTGCTGTGGCTCAAGTGGTGAAGCGCTAGCCTTGAGCTGAAGAGCTGAGGGACAGAGCCCAGACCCAGAGTTCAGGCCCCACGACCAACAACAACAACAACAAAAAAATTATCCTAGATGTATATTAGTTACTGCAAAAAAGGGAAAACATGGGACCTATATTTTTGGGGGGTCTGGCTTACTTCACTTAATATGATTTTTTTCTAAGTCTTTCCTAAATGATGATTTTTAAAATAAGTATTTACAGGCTGACTCCAGTGGCTCACACCTATAATCTTAGCTACACAGGAGGATGATATCTGAGGATCACAGTACGAAGCCAGCATGGGTAAGAAAGTCCATGAAATTCTTATCTCCAATAAATTGCAAAGAAAAGAAAAGAAAATGCAATCCCATCTGTCCAACCTTTCTTTGATTTGTTGTGTTTCTGGGTCTTTATTAAGAAAATTTCAGCCTGTGCCAAGGAGACCTAGGGTTTTTCCTATTCCTTCCTGTAATGTTTTCAGAGTGTCTGCTTTGACTTCGAGGTCTTTGATCCATTTGGAGTTGATTCTGGTTCAGGGTGATATATGGGGATCCAGCTTTAGTTTTCTACAGGTGTTTAACCAATTTTGCCAGCATCATTTACTGAAGAGGCTGTCTTTGTTCCATTCTATTGTTTTAGCTCTCTTATTGAAGATTAGGTGGCTATAGGTCTGTAGGTTCATTTCTGGGTCTTCAGATCTATTCCATTGGTTTTCAGGTCTGTTCTT